CTTCCTTTTTTCAGTCCTCACTGGAGGATATTTTTCCATTGCTTTTCAGAGAGCGTGGAAGAGAGAGAGGGGCATCGACGTGAGAGAGACCACCTCCCACGTGTGCCCCGACTGGAGTGGGGGTGTTGGGAAAGGGAGGGAACGGGCAAACCAGGTACATGCCCTTGACTGGGCATCAAACCCGAGGCCCTTCGTGTGCGGGGACGTCCCACCACTGAACCACGCCAGCCAGGGCTGAAAGTAACAGTAACTTCTATACGTGATTGTGTGAGCTGCCTGGGAGTGTCTGATCGGGTGTCCCCGCAAGCAGGATGGCATCGTGCTGACCCACCTCCTCGCCCCGCTCAGCTCGCCCTGAGGTCTCGCCGACTTACACCCCATCCCAAAGCACAGACACCTCACGGCATCCTCAGAGCTCAGGATGGACACCTCAGGGCATGCCGGCGGCAGCCGGAGCACTTTCCAGGCTGAGACCCCAAGGTGAGTATTGAACTTCCAGACCCCGATCCTGGATGGAAGTCCCTGTGCTGGATAGCAGGGTGGTTTTCCTGGCTGGCCATGGGTTGTTCTAGCTTACTGCTGATACGGCCCAGTCTGTGATCTGTGCGTAGGTGTGCGGCACAGGGGTTCCTGGTGTTGCCCCCTGGCACCTGCTCTGGGCCTCTGGGGTAGCCAGGTGGCAGGCAACAAAGGAGATAGGTGTTGTGCTGGTTTTAGCAGGGGCTCCTTTGCTGCTGCTGAGGAGACGTCTGGCAGCAGGTGGAGCTGGGTTGTGGGCAGTTTCATGGCCCATCTTTGGGACCATCTGGGCCCGATTCCAGCAGGAACCACGCAGTGTGGGAACTCCAGGGCAGAGAACACTGCATTCATGTTCCCCCTCTACTGCTGCTGTGTGTGGTGCCACTGAAATGGTCCACGATGCCCTGGAGAGTGTGAGCAATTTCTCCATCCTTCTGCAGTACTCACACCTCCCCGGTCCCAGTGTTGGGGCCTCTGACGCTGAATGATGGCAGCCCTGGTTGAGTCCTGCAGCACGCATAGCTCACCTGGGGTTGGCTCACCTGGGCTGGGCTCACCTGGGGTAGGCAGTTGCCAGTCTCACTCAGCTCAGGCAGCTCAGGGCTTCTACAGGGAGAGCTGAGTGGCCAGGTAGAAAGTTCTTTGACACCTGCGTGGTGACACGTCCCTTGCCCTGGGAGTGTCTGAGCCCAGTCTGGGGGTTCAGAGCAGCATGTCTCATGGGCCCAGGGCCTGGGGCTATTTCCCTCTATGCCAGTGAGTGTCCGGGACCAGTTTCGGTGTCCTGCCTGTCTGAAGCATGGCTGTCAGTCACCCACTTCAGTGGCTGATTGAGAGTGCATACATGGCTTAGCATGGCTCCTGGCCCATGGTGTCTGTTTATATGTATATGTGTATGGGTATACATTTATACATGTGCATACATGTGTGTTGTGCAGGCATCTATGTATGTGTGAGCATGTGTGTGCCCTTCCCAGAGTCCCCTGCTCCCCTGAGCAGTGTGGAGGGGAGGCTGGAGCTGGCCTGGCCTGCTCGGTGCTTACTTTGGCCTGGGAGAGGCAGCTGGGAGCTCAGTCCTTAGCTGAAGGAGGCCATGGCCTGCATCCCTGAGCTTCTGCACTCAGATCAGGGGTGGTCTCTTTGTTCCTTCCCCAACAGGACCTCTCCCTGCCCCTACTCCGCTCCCTGAGCCCTGGGCTCTCCTGTCTGGCCAAGCATCGTTTGGCTGCCCTTGGGCAAAAGTCCTTGGAAATGAGATGATGGCGGAGGGTGCACGCACCTCCTTTGGACAGGACCGTGCACGTGCCTTGCCACCATCCTCCGTGCAACTTGTCCTCCCGTCTGTAATAAGAAAAATAACCCTAGGGGATGTGGGCAACCCCCAAGCTCGCACAACTCAGAGGTACCCCCATGAGGTATAATCGGACGATCAGCTGCATGTTAAAGGGTACGCTGCGATGGTTCGACATACGTACAAACCCAAGAAGCGACCAGCACAGTCAGACACCCCACACCCCAGCACCCCTCCTCCCCGGCAGCCTTGTCCGTGTGAATGCAGAGGCACCTGTCTGTCTCCTTCCACTCGGCACCACCGTGTGTGGGCTGGTCCATGTTGTGGGGAAGCAGCCTTTCTCCCTGGATGTTCTGGAAAAGGTCACGTAGAATTGGTATCATTTCCTCCTCAAATGTTTGATAGACTTCGCCAGTGAAGCCATCTAATCCTGGAGCTTCCTCTGTGGAAAAACGTTTAACAATAAATATTTCTTGTGCTTGGTGTTCACTGAGCTGCTTAGATATATGGATTTCTAGTTCCATCAAATATGGAAAAACTTTGGTTATTATTTCCTCAAATATGTTTCCTGCTCACTCCTTTTTTGGGAGTTCAATTACATATGGAGACTCTGGTCACACGCACATAGTATGTCGCTTGACTTTTTTTGCATCTCGCTAATACCCCCCCTTTGGGTAGCTCCTGTGGGTTTCCCCTCCAGGAGTCAAATGTGTATCTTTTATTTCCTCCATGTCCTGCTGACCTTTCGCACATTCTTGAGCATGGTTCGGGGACGCGGTTAAGTTGCTTGTAAACAGACGCTTCTGTTAAGACTCGTCATTATTTGTTGGGTAGGACCCGAGCAGAGCTCACCGAGGCAAGACCCTCCCAATTCTCTGATGCCCTGAGGATCTTGGGGTTTCAGTCCAGCTGGGAGACAGGCACGTGCCCCACCTTGTGAGGGCGCCAGGCTGTTGCCTCCACCTTCCCCGGAGATGCTTTCTGCAGCCTCGCGGTTCCCGCGCACCTGGGCTGAGTCTCCCTTGGGGGCCTCCCCAGCTCTCCTCCCCAGTGCTCTGTGCTGTGACCTCCAGCCGCCTTGGTCTTCCTGAGCTCTGCTCCATCTCTGCACTCAGGGGTCTTCCTGGGGGCAGGAAGCTGGGGTGGCAGAGGGAACACTGCCCAGTTACCACCTCTCAGGAGCATGGTGCTTCACTGCCTGGTGTAGGGTATCTGTCAGGTTGTTTTTTCATGTTTTATCCAGGTTTTGCTTGTTTCATACAAAAGGCTTAGCCCCATTTCTGTTACTGTACCTTGACCGGAAGCAGGAGACCCTAAAGTGGGCCTGGGGCGGCTCCACCTGGTGCCAGCAGACTGCAGGGGCACACATCGTGGCGAGGGCCAGGGCGAGGGCAAGGCGTGCATTCCGTCTGGCATGTTTTCACTGCACACCACATCTAATTTCTGGAAACTTGAGTTTATCTCCTGTGCTATGAGAAGAATGCAGCAAAGCATGTGTTTTCTGTTTAGAAATCTTAATGTTTCTCCTGAATAAGTTTGTTAAGAATGTGGCAGTGGCCAGCGGTGAATGCACCGGCCCTGGTTTTGGTGTCTCCTGATCGAAGTCTGCTGGGGAGGTGCATGGCCACAGGAAGGCGAGGCAGCAGGGGAACTGCACCTGGCTGCTGGGCTCCTGCTTTCCTTCCCACTGAGCTCTGCCCGGAGGCCTGAGTGCCATCTGAGGGACAAGGGCAGGCTCTGGGGCGCCTTTGTGGTTGCATGTGCCATACCTGTGTCCACTGATGGCTTAGCGAGTGAGGAGGGGAGTGTGTGAAGACCCTGCTGGCAGCATGGCTGGTGAGAGCGCAAGGAGTGTGTCTGAGGAGGTTCAGGGAGGGTTCAGGGGTGTGGCAGTGCCCACCGGCTCTCCTCACACTGGGTGGGCTCTGTATTCTTGAGGGAACCCTGCTTCCCTGGCTTGGGCCTCATGTGGCCAGGGACAAATTCAGTTCTGGCCTGAGAGTGTCCAGCTGGACCCTAGGAGCTGTCCCACACCATGGGGCACTGGCTGGCGCGCTCGGGCCGGGAAAGCAGCTCCACCCGCCTGCAGGCCTGAGAGCTGCCCGGGCCGCAGCGCTGAGCGAGGCGTGGAGCTTCCCCTCGCCCCGTCCATTTAGCACGGGCCTGGCACGCTGGCCACTCCAAGCACCAGTGAGGGTTTATTCCGCTTTCACATGTTTTAGAACCTCCTGAACTGCTCTGCTTCAACACTGCTGGGCAAGAAGGAGATTTTCAGCGAATCCCCCAGCCCTGCACGTGGCCTTGGACGGTCAATTCACAGCCCTGGAACCTGGCCAGCAGGGAGCCAGGCACCCCCCCGACCACCTCAGCGCCCCACTGGGGGTCTGTGGGCATCAGGTAAGTGGCCTGTCCCTCAGGGATAAGTGGCCGCTGCTCCAGGCCCCTGTCCTCGGCAGCCCCACTGCAGGTTTAAAGGGAGGTTTTGAGGAATGTCTGTGTCACTCTTGGCCAGTGCCACCCTGGCCTTCCTCAGCTGAGCTCCCGAGCATTCTCTGTGCACCTAGAATGACAATCGAGCTCGCCTCTCCTGAGGGAGGTCTTCCAGGAGAGGAGCGTGGTGAGGGCTCAGTGAGGGCTCAGTGAGGGTTCAGGGGCACAGCCGCGGGTGGGGGGCTGCGTGGTCCAGAAGGCGCCTGGCCACCTGTCTGATAGAAGAGTTGCAATGACGGTGAGGAGGGGCCCTGGCAGGGATCCTGCCTGACCTCAAAGCCCCATCGCAGCACGACCCTGTGGCGGCACATTGCAGACCTGATCCACTGTGCCTATGACAGTTATTGCTATAATTTTGCACATCTACTTTGAATTCATTGAGCAGCAGGTAGCTCGTGTTACAGGGCTTCTCCCTCCCCCTCCCCCTCCCCTCGCTCTCTCTGCTTTTCCCTCCTTCCCTCTCTTCCTTTCTCCTTTTCTTATGTAGAAAAAATTTATTCTTAAAATATAAGGCTTTCCATTTTCCGATGCCTGAAAGCCCGTCTAACGGGACCAGCTGCAGCCAGCCAGCAGTTTGTTCACATGGGGCCCAGCTCATCTCCATTACGTGGCCTTTCTCTGGGGGCCCGCGGCTCACTGACCATGCTCCTTTCTCCCTGACAGGAAGCCCCCACTGAGGCCAGAGAGGTCCGCTTTGAGGATGGAGTCTGGAGGAGGGGCCCCAACAGCCCCAGCCCTCATTGCCACCCTGGGGGGGCCAGATGATGGGCCCGGCTGCTCCTCCCCGGGGCTGCCCAGCACAGACCCAGGGAAGTTCCAAGCGCTGCCCATTGGGCCCGGAGCCCACTGTGAGGACCCTGCTCCTGGGATCCCTGGGGGCCAGGCTTCTGTTGGGGATAGCTCCCCAGACATGAGCCCCGATGGGGAGCAGAGTGGCAATGCTAAGATCCCCAACCGGGACAGCGGGATCGACAGCCCAGCCTGCAGTGTGACCGGGGAGGCCTTCTGCGAGGAGGGCAGTGAGACAGGCCCGGGCCCCACGGTCCCGGGACTGCACTCAGAGACGGCCCCGGGCAGCAAGACCACACGGAAGGAGGCCCACAGTGACGTGGGCAGGAGCCGCAGCGGGGAGCCTGAGCCCGGGAACAGCCCCCCGATGGGCAACGCGGACCTGGCCAAGGTAGGCTGCCCTCCGCCGCAGGACGGCGGGCTCTCCAGGGGGTTTGAGGCTGGCAGGGCATCACCACGCTTGGTGCCAATAGCTGGGTGCCTGCTCGGCACCGCATTCCGAGGCCCCGTGACAGGCTGGTGAGTGGGTCTGGGTTGGTGCACACAGGGTGGTCCCCTGGACACCTAGGGCGGCAACCTCACTCTTGAGCCTGGTTCCACGGCTGCACAGGCAAAGGGGCTCCACCTCAGGGCGGTCTGACCACAGCTTCGCGGGAACAGTCCACCAGCAGCGCCCTTGTGCTGCTGCCCACCTTGCAGAGCTGCGTGAGGAAGGCAACCCGTGTCACCTGCTTTATGAAGAAGAAACCCCCAGGGTTGCGCACGGGGTGGGGCGGAGGTGGGAGGGAGCCGCGCACACGTGTGGAGCCCTGAGCTTGCTGTGTCCGTGGCAGTGGGTTGGCCTTGACGGAAAGCTCTTCTGCATCCCCTTAGCATCTCGGGCTCTGTACCCTGTGCTGGGACCCGTGAGGACACAGAGATAAAGCAGATAGCCCTGCCTCAGGGGGACCACCTGTGAGTGGGAGGGGGGCCTGAACAAGCTGCAGGTGACTGGGTCCCAGCAGAGCCAGGTGGTGTCTGACGGGTTAGGCTGCCTGGCTCCTGGTGGCAACAGTGCTGGCTAATGTGGCAGCAGGAGGAGACAGGCCTGGAGGGCACAGGTCTGGAGGGCACAGCTATGCCGTTGAGAGCCAACTTCTTGGGGGCTGACCTGGGCTGGGCTGTTTTAATCTAGGTTTATTATTATTTGAGTATGATGAGGCCAACATATCAGGAGATGACAGCCACCGAAAAATAGTTTGTTACTCACAGTTCCCAAGAGGAGGGGCCACATCACACTATAGAGGAGAAATTACGGGGGCCGTTGGTCATGAGAGAGGTCAGGGGGATTGAGGGCAACAGGCTTTATTGTAGTTTCTGAGGAAAGGAACAGGTGAGGCAGCTGGGCAAATTTAGGATTGGCCAGTTTGAATAATTCCAGGGGGCTCTGGGCACAGCAGCTGTCTGGTACCTGGCCCTTGGTGATTAGGGCAAGGGGAGAGGAATGGCAGATACAAAGGACTGGGATATAGGCTAGGGATGGGTTGGTTTGCATATAAAAGTCGTGCCTATAGGTGGGTCTTTTATATCCCTAGGAATCAGCCATCTCTAGGGGATAGTCCCTCTGGGGTAAGCAAGGACCCAAGATGTCAAAATATCATAAAATAAAAATAAATTAATGATGTGTTTACTATGGGCCCCACCACCTGTGACTCTCGGGGTATCTTCCAGGGAAGCTGACTGCCTCAGTCTCCCAGGTCCTGGGGGCAAGTGCAGACCTCAGGCCTGGCCCTATCTTGCATATGCAGGCTCTGGGGTGCTCCCAGGGCCAGGGGCTTGCTGGAGATGTTCCAAGTCTTTGTATCTGTACCATGAAAACGTCATTCCATTGCCACTAGTAGGAGCGGGTCTATGTTCTCCGTCACGGGATCCTGGTTAGAATGCCATTTATCGCACCCTGGCCCAATCCTCAGGGCAAAGCTCTGGACCAGGAGCCCGGGGGCCCTGTGCCTAAAGTTCCCCAGCCAGGTAGAATGAAGGGCTGCGACACAGGAGGTGATGCGGGTGTACACACGTCAAATCAGCCTTTACCAGGTGGAGTTATTTCCCTTCTCCTAGCCAGTTTGTTGACTGTTCTTATCACAAAAGGATGTTGAATCTTGTCAAATGCTTTTCCTGCCTCATTTTTCCTTTATTCTGCATTACATTGATTGATTTTCATTGACTGATCCATTCTCGTATTCCAGAAATAAATTCCACTTGGTTATGGTATATGATGACCCTTTTAATATGCTACTGAATTAAATTTGCTAATATTTTGTTGAGGATTTTGCATCAATCAATATTCATCAGGGATATTGGCCTATAGTTTTATTTTCTTTGTCTGGCTTTGGTACCAGGGTGATGCTAGCCTCATAGAATAAACTTGGAAGTATTAGCTTCAATTTTTTGGACGTACCTGAGAAAAAATTATCTGGTATTATTAATTCTCCAGTGAAGTCACCTGGGTTTTCCCTGCTGGAAAGTGTTTAATAGCTTATTCAGTCTCTTTGCTCATTAGTGATCGGTTCAGATTTTCTGTTTCTTTATGATTCAGTCCTGGTAGGCTGTGTTTCTAAGAATTTGCCCATTTCTTCTATGGTGTCTCATTGCTCATAGTATTCTCTTATAATCTTTTTTATTTCTATGGCATCAATTGTCATGTTTCCCCTTTCATTTCTGATGTTAGTTATCTGAGTCTTCTCTTTTTTCTTAGTTAATTTAACTAAGGGTTTGTCAGTTTCATTGATCTTTTCAAAAACCAGCTCTTCATGTTGATGTTTTCATTGTTTTCTATTCTGTTTCGTTGATCTCGGCTCTAATCTCTTTCCTTTCTTTTTTTTGTTGTTTTGTTCATTCTCATGGGAGGATATTTTTTCCATTGCTTTTTGGAGAGAGTGGAAGAGAGAGAGGGAGGGAGGAGGGGAGAGGGGGAGAGAGAGAGAGAGGGAGAGGGAGAAACACTGATTGTTTGCCTCCCGCAGGACACCCGAGCCTGCAACCAGGAGGGTGCCCTTGACCAGGGCCTGAACCTGAGGCCTCCGGCGTGCGGGCCAGGGCCCTGACCACGGAGCCACAGCAGCCAGGGCCACGATGCCATTTTATTCTATTGTGATTAACAAGGACACTTTATATATATATAAACTATATATATACTATGTAGTATATATATTTATATATATAAAATATATAGAGTTATATATTTTACTTTGAACAGATAACTTCAGTTGCATATAAAAATTCTACTCCTTCATAGCTCCTCCCCCTCCCCACTGTTATTGATGTCAGAAATGGCATATTCATACATTGTATGCATGTTAACAAATAGGTGTCATTTTTAAACATTCTTATGATTTAAATTTTATGTACCAAAATTACAACAGTGCATGTTACTATATTTGTTCATGCATTTACCTTTACCAGAGAACCATATATTTCTGTACAGCTTAGGTTGCTGTCTACCACCTTCACAACTTCAAGGACTCCCTTAAATATTTCTTGTAGAGCAGCTCTAGTGGTGCTGAGCTCTTCATCTTTAATATTTGGGAAGGTCATAATTTCTTCATTTTAGGGCGGCTTTCCTGGATACAATGTTCTTGGTTGACAGTTTTTTCTCTTAGCATATTAAATGTATCACCTCATTCCTTTTTTATTATAATGGGTCTCAGTGTGGTTCTTTTTGATTTTTTTAATCCTTACCCAAGGATATGTTTGAGAGAGAGGAAGAGAGAGAGAGACATCGATGTGAGAGAGACATATCCACTGGTTGCCCCCTGCATGTGCCCCGACCAGGGCAGGGGATTGATCTTACAGCCCAGGTACGTGCCCTTGACTGGGAATTGAGCCCACGACCCTTCAGTGCACGGGCTGATGCTCTAACCACTGAGCAACACCAGCCAGGGTACTCCACAATGTATTTGATGTGGCTGCTGCAGCTACTCTGTCTTCAACGCCCCGGACGGCAGAGTTGTCTCTGGACGGCAGACGCTTTTAGGGGTTGGTGGGAACTGTGGTGCCCTCCCCAGAAACATTCCCCGGAAATTCCATCTATGAAAACCGAGCCCCACATTCCAGTCCCCGCAGCCTCCTCTGGCCCCACAGCTCCCCTGGCTGTCCTGGGCGCAGCAGCTGGCCCTTGTCAGGTCTGCCTCTCCAAGGCTCATCTTCCCCAGGTGAGCTGTGGCTCTTCTCTCCCTAGAGCTCTAAGCCCCGGGAGCTGCTCCACATCGCCCAGGAGCTCCTGCACACGGAGGAGACCTACGTGAGGCGGCTGTACCTGCTGGACCAGGTAGCGCTTCTGGCTGGGGCATGCCTTTGTCTACTTTCAGAGTTCCAGAGGGCAGTTTCACAGGCAAGCTCCCTATCCTAACATTGGCGAGGCCTTACATTCGGAATACAAATGACTATGCTAAAACTCAGACAAATTTAAGTATCCTCCAGACACTTGTACTTTTTGCTTTTAGAGCTTGTGGCTCTGGGGCAAAGGTCCTGTCAGGTCCCCTTGGGGATCTTTATTCCTGGCAGTCACATTATGTGAGCATTTTTCTGCATAGATAGTTGGGACCGTGGGTGGCAAGATGGGCTTCTGAGCACAGGAAGTAACACCAAAGGAAACACAGGGCGTTACAGGTGTTGCTTCTGTTTGTAGCTCCCAAGTGGAGAAAGGAAATTGGGGACCTTCCAATTCCAATGAAAGGCAGACAGAGGAAGAAAGATGGCCTATCCCCATCTGGAGGGGACTGTCCTTGCCTCTCCCCAATCCTTAGCCATAAGTAAGCATGCTTTAGGACCAAAAGGTTGTTTGAGCCACTGATGAAATGGGAGGTTTATCAAGGAAAGAGGAGGTGGCCACAGCCTCTCCTGGGCACCCGCACCCACAGAAACACAACTCCACCCACGATGGCCCACACTCAGTGACCACTGTGTGCCCAGGTCTTCTGCACCCGGCTGACAGAAGCAGGGATTCCTCTGGAAGTCACCACAGGCATCTTCTCTAACATCTCCTCCATCTATCGCTTCCATGGGCAGTTCCTCCTGCCCGAGCTGCAGACTCGCATCACAGAGGAGTGGTGAGTGTGGCTCAGGCGCCTGGGCACTGGGGGGCCGGCATCTCCAGGGAGTTTGGCTTCAACACGGTTGACAGTTGACGGTCCTGGTTATTTTGTCACGGCATTGTTTTGTAATTCTCTTTGCCAAGTGGCCTCTAAATCTGGAGTTTTTATGCCTTAAAGCCAGGTGGACACTTGGGCCTGTCTCACAGCGCTCTGGGTTCCTTCTCCACAAGGTCCTGGGCCAACCCTGACCTCACCAACCCCATTGCTACTTAGTGTCTCCCAGCCTGGGCTTCTTCATCTGAAAATCAAAGGGACTTTAATACCTGCTTAGGGCTTCATGGGATTTCAAGGGAGTTAGGTATCGGCAAGCACCAAGCAGCTGGCCAAGAGCGCTAGGCCACCCGTTACCCTCTCAGCGTATACTCCACCTTTGCTTTAAAAATGTTAGATCTCCCCTCTCAGTAGTACACCTTGGATCCTCCATCTGTCCCTGGGGGCTGTCCTTCTGTCCCTCTGCCACTTCTGTTTGTTCTCAGCTCAGCTGCAAGTCACAGTAATAAAACGCCGCAGAGTGGCCCCCGCCTGGCCGTTCCCCACCCTGCGCATTCTGCTCCGTGCTGGGTGCTGCTGCAGCTTTTTGTGGTCTCCGCTGTTGCTCCCGCCGCTGGCCTGGCTGGGCCGGCCTGTCATTCTCCTGCGTCGGGAGCACCAGGAGCCTGGCCCCTGCAAGGCTCAGCTGGACCCTGGGTCCACCTGTAAATCCTTAGAGGGACAGGCTGCAGCTATAGAGCAGGTGTCCCCCAGGCCGCCGGGCTAGAGCCCAGGGCTGGGCTGGCCTTCTGGCGGACACAGTCCTTCTGGCTAGAAACAGGTTTTCTCCTCCAGGCCCTGGAGAGAGTGTGCAGACGCCTGGCTGGGCTGTGGTAACAGTGCAGGGCTTCGCGCTTGCCTGAGCCTGCCCAGGCGGTGGCCTTTGCCTGAGACCCTCGAGGACCTCTTTCTGGGGATGCTGCAGTGAATGCCCTTTATCCCGTCTTTTCGGTGATTAATTTAGGATAAATCCCCCCACAGTTCTAAGGTCAAAGACTATTAATATAGTTTTATGGTTTTTAGACCTATTTCTAACCCCCTAACCGAATCCCTGTCAGGAGTGCACAGTGCCAGCTGTCATTCATCCCACTGCTCCTGACCTTTGCTCATTTGAAGGAGTAAGATGGAGTTTCCTCGCTTCTCTGATGACTGGGGCGTCACTAGAGCGGCCCCGTCACCAGCGCCTGGGTTTGCGCAATGGTCCGTGCCCTGGGAAGCGCTTTCCGTGAGCTGCCTGTTTGCCACCAGCGATCCCTTGCCTTCTACTCCGCATGAGGCGGGGCAGGGAACAGGCTCCCAGAGGGTGACCAGCGTGCCCGCCGCCGCAGAGCTGGGAGTCGCCCTCACCCGGACCCCTCACCTGGGTTGTTTCTCTGATGATCTCACTCCTCCACAAAGGAACAGGAACCCCCGGCTTGGGGACATCCTGCAGAAGCTGGCCCCGTTCCTCAAGATGTATGGAGAGTACGTCAAAAACTTCGACCGGGCGGTGGAGCTGGTGAACGCCTGGACCCAGCGCTCGTCCCTGTTCAGAGACGTGGTCCACGGCATCCAGGTAGGGCCCTGCATGGCCTCGGGGGCACAGCTCTAGGCTGGTCTTGTCACACGGGGAAAATGGTACCACTGTGGATGTGTCCAGACGCGCTGTTGACGCTTTGATTCTTAAAGTGACTCCCAGAGACAAATCTTCACTCCTGTTTCACCGGCGGGGAGACCGCGGCTCCCAGAGGCTGCACGATTGTGTTGCCACAAGCTGTTGTCGATAGAACCCGGGCCCAAAGGCCAGTTCCTCCCCCAGCGCTCCTCGGCAGCTCGAGCAGGCCTCGGGGTAGGAAGATGCTACCCTGGTGGTTGGCTTTCCTCTTTCTGTGGACAGTCTGTCCACACCTGGCCACTGTGGTCTCCTGCTGTGTTGCCCTTTTCTTCATTGACTCATGTGGTTTTTATATGTTAAGAACGTTAACTGTTATCTGTCATGTGTTACAAATAATTTTTCCTCATTGATTTTTTAATTTTTTAACTTTATGATGTTTTCTATACAAAATTTTTGGTTTTTACTTAGCCAGTTCACTAATTTTTTTTTAAATCATCACCCTTGGATATTTTTTCTATTGCTTTTCAGAGAAAGCGGAGGGGGTGCGGGGGGAGAGAGACACTTCAATTGGTTGCCTCCTGCTGGCCCACGGACCAGGGCTGGGGGTCAAGCCTGAAACTGAGGTACCTGCCCTTGGCCAGAATTGAACCCGGACCCTTTAGTCCGCCAGTCGACGCTCTGACCACTGAGCCAAACCAGCTAGGGCAACATTCGCCAATTTTTAAATAAAGTAATGCTTTAAAAAATCTTTCAAGTAAGGCTTATAAATGCATTTCTCACTTCCCAAGGTAATAGAAATTATGTTTTCTTTTAATGTATGGCTTCATTTTAAAAATTAAAAATGCTATCCCAGAATAATTTCCCCATGGATTATGGTATGAGGTAAGAATCTAGTTTTATTTTTGTGAATTGTTAGCTGCTTGTCCTAACATCACGAGTACACACATACACGCACACACACACACATTCCTCAGTATATCCTAGAGGGTTAATGACCGAGGATTTGGAGACCAGATTTGGGTCTGGGTTGGCCCTTCCATGACTTTCTGCATTTTCCCAGGTCCTCTGTCATCAGGTCAGCATGACTTCCTAGTGTGAAGTCCTAGGCCCTCCCGTGCTCCTTGGCACCCCTGGCCCTCTCCAGAGGACAGCTCTGACACCAAATCCTTCCTTCTCTCTCCTGCCCACACTCCCTGAGCCCTCACCCCCTTGCTTATGTCTGGGCGCTCCCAGCTCTCCCCATGAAAGTTTTCTCAGCCTCCCCAAGCTGTGCCAGCCCCGAGGGGCACTGACCAGGGGCTCGCACTGCCCAGGTCTGCAGGGTGTGGTCACCCGGTGGCAGGGCTGACTGGGGTTGGCGCAGGCAGGGCATCCCACAGGTGCAGGTTAGGCTGGTGTGAGTGCCGAGGCTGACAGACAGACCAGAGCCCCGTGCCTGGGACAGACTACAGCACGACCTCCTTCCCCGGGCAGCGTGTGCCCTGGGCTTTGTTAGAGGTCACCGTCAGGCTGGCCGCTGCCCTTGGCGCGACATCGTGACCGTCAGGGGGAACTGTGGGCCCACCCCAGGGCCTCACAGACCTAAACTCCCTGCGGCCCTACCGCCTTCCCGGTGCAGATGCCCGTGTTTATTTCCGTTTCTCTCCCCACATCTCTTCTTAGTAATAATAAAGCTACAATGGAGGAAGTTCAGTCTGTAACTTGCATTGGGCAATTGGTATCTGGTTGGGTTATTTTGAGGAAGAAGAGAAGACAGAGTCAGGGTTCACTTGGTGTCCTTCCTTCCCCATGGCCAGCCAGGGACAACCCTGTAGACGCGGAATGCAGGAGGGCGCAGTCTGAGGGCCTGCCCCTCGCTGGTGCGCTGGCTGTGAGCCTGACTCACACAGTGTCCAGCCTGAGGAGGTGTCACTGGGCTCCCTCCTGACTCTCATGGGCAGCCTGTCTTCTCTGCCACACCTGGCAGACCAGATCCTTGGGTCTGCAGGCTCTTGGTTACCACACACCTGGGGATGGAGATGACCGATGTGCTGTCCCGGGCAGACATGGCCTGGGTCTCAGCCAGCTGCCAGACAATGCATCCCACACCCTGGAGAGGCCTGGGGCTCTGGGATGGGTATGCTGTGGGAAGGGCTCCATGCCCAGGTTCGGCACAGCCCATGGTTGTCAGCAGGCCACCCTGTCCCCTGGTCCCCCTGCACCATAGCACCATAGTGGGTGCAAGCTGAGGATGTTGCTGAATGTCCCACGGGCACAGGACAGCCTCCACCATGCTGAGAACACCCAGTGTGGACAAACAAAGTTGTGTAGTCTTTAGAGGTTTCCTTGGTTCAATCCAAGGCGTATTCTAAATTTTTGGAGCTTTTATTTTGAAATAATTTCAAACATTTACAAGAAGGTTACAAAAATGGGGAACTGTTAACATTTTGTCTTGTTTACTTTATCACTCTTTCCAAACACACACATAGATTGTTGTTTTTGAAGCTTCTGAGACTAAGTAGCAGATGTGGGCCCGTGTCCCTGAGTGTGGACAGTGTTCTCCTGACAGCCACAGCACAGGACCCAGACAGGGAGTCTCACAGGGTGCAACAGTGCTTCCGAATTCAGCCCTCGTTCAGGTATCACCAGCTGTCCAGCGAGTTTTCTTTTCTGGCCCAC